GAAGGAAAACAGAAATTCAGTTTCAGCTGAAGGTCAGTTTTTTTTAACTCCATATCTAAAAGGTAAACAAACAAATAAAAAAAAACACTATACAAAAGCTGATTAATAGCACACAAGTCTGTTGCTTACATCAATCATTTAAATAGATTTAAATTTTGAAATAAAAAAGTAACCATTTAAACCGAGCCTAAAATAAAACATCCATTATGTTTGATCAGTTTTGATGTTACTAGCTGCAGAAGAAAAACCACTCGAGTTTCTGTAAATGTTCTTGAAACGTCACTTTAACCCTTCTGATCCCTTTTAAATTAAATGTGGTTCAGTATAAAAGCAATATTGCAATAAAGTAAAATTTACACTTCCTGATTTATTGCAATCAAATAAGCAAGAGTTTTAACCACAAACACTATAATTATCTGTGCTTCCAGCTCTGTTTTTTCATCCCCACAGCTTTGCATCGTGTGCGTGCGTGCGTGCATGCGTGTGTGTGTGTGTGTGTGTATGCTCTCAGTGGTAATGCAATTGACGGCTCATAATGTGAAGTGACACCAGGTCCTTCTGTTAGCGTTGTGAAGTTCATGCTCTATAATACATCTAGCACAAACTTTGCGTGTTCCTGCAGCCCAAGAAGGTTCTGAAAGCTTCAAAGACTTCAGTCAAGCTCAACACTAAACAAAGAAACGTGTCCACACATGTTAGGAACATGAATAATGTTGACATCTTATTTGACAAATGGCTTAAAGCTTCACAAGTGAATTATTGCCCAAAGGCCGTTGTTTAATTTGGTTTGCCTACTTTAACTCCAAGTTGGATTCAAGGTTGTCTGGAAAAAAAGTGATTTATATTTTTGGTAACTTCTATGGTTCATAATTGCCACTTCAAATACTCAAATACCATTTTTTAGCGAAACTTCAGCTGCAGCATTAAATTTATCTCAAAGAAAGGTTGCCGAAGATCACAGCATGGATCGGTGATGGCAGATGTGAAGAGGTGGGCTAACTGAATCTGACAGGCTGGCCCCTCAGACATGGCTCTGTCCTCGAGCTGTTGTGCACCGCTCCTCCTCTCATATTAGAGATGAAAGGCTGTTTGTTAATCCTGTGATCTTCCAGGGTCAAATTGAGCTCCCACACAAACAGAACATGACTGAAGGTTACAGACTTTTGTTTCAGTGAAACATCTTTCCTGCAAGCTTTGTGTTGTCCTGCTTAGTCACTGCTTCCATGATTGACTTCTGTTCATACAAAGTTCATACAGAGGTGCAAAAAAATTAAATAAATTCCCCCCCCCCCCCCCCCAACTAAAAATTATCTGGACGCACCACTGATTTCTACAGAGCCCGTTTGGTGGCATTGGATTAAAAAAATTATATTGTGGCCAAGCGTTAATTTTGTCATTTCCACGAGTTATTTATTGCAGCAATTTCCATGCAGAGATTGATTGTTTACATGGACAATTTTGAATTAATGTCATTTTATTTTAAATATAGGAATAAATTCCTCCGTCACTTCCGTTAGTCATAAAAGTATTTCTTGGTGTTATCGGTTACAGCTATAAAACACAGGTGACGAAGTCGAGTTGTCCAAAAAGATTTATTCTCTTTTTCAAAGCTCCTCTCTCACATCTTTTCTTGGCTGCAGAAGGAGTCAGCTTTATGTTGTGTCGGGAACACAGTGAAAACTCTGTTTCCTGACCTAAGTTCTTTATTGTCATCTCATTAATAGGCTACTATGAAAGATGAATCATTTATATTAACATACACAAAATCATAATAAGTGCGGGGTGCGCTACCTTTAAACAGTTTTCAAAATGTGTTCAAAATCTGACTCCAACAATGTCTGTATCATGCTGTAGGCCTACACACTGCTAAAAATTATCTTGTGGCCACGCGATAAATAATATATCACAAAGAGTTGAAACTAGGGATGTCTCGTCTTCAACATTGATCTGAGTCATTACCGTCCACCACCACCAGGTGACAAAGTTTGTGTCTGTGTCAACCAGAATCAAGATGGTCACAACAGCTAAAAGAGTTCAAAGTTCACAAAAATGACAATAAATCAGTCAATTTTCCAAATATTGATCAAAATTTTGGTCTGAATGTAGTTGGGACTAATCATCAATACATATGTTTTCCAGATTTGCTGAATTTTGGTGAGGTAGAAGCTAAAAGTTATTCACAACACATATAAAGTGTAACTGAATGCACCAGATTTTTGTTAAAAATGTTTCTGTTAACTGTTAGAGTTACCTTTTTACTTTTACCTTTATAGCAAAATGTCTTACGAAAAACTGGACGAATTTTAGTGAAAATAATTATTGGATGTAGCAATAGTTAATTAATTTTTGGAGTCCTTTTAATTCAACAATGTGGCCACAGCTAAGCAACATTAAACAACACAAAACTGGATCATTGGACCTTTCCTCTTTTATCCACAATTTCCTCTCAAGCTGTTCCACTCTTTTTCATTGCACATTGTTCTTTTTTATTTTAAAGCAGTTGTAAGGCAAACATGGAAATGCTATGCTACTCAACAGGTTGCTAGCTTACTGAAGGGTGAGTGAGTTTATGCCATCAACCTTGCTTAGCTGAGCCATGAGAGATGGAACAGCTAAAACCTCTTCTCTGCATACATCCCCCAGAATGCGCTTGTTTTGTCTACGACCGATAAGCTACAAAGCTAACATTGCTATGCTGGGACTTCCTATAGCTTAGCAATGCTAATACAGAAGCTAACACTTAGCGAGTCCAGATTAAATACTCCGCACAAGCCTCCACGGATAACCTTCATGATCGGCACACAGTCCCAGTTTTGTTACCAATCTGGAAAGCAACAAAGTTTTCTCTCACCCGTTTACCGGCCCCGACAATTGAATCGATCTAACAGTCACCCCGAAAGGCCTTCACCAAAGTTGTCCCACTCCAGCCTCGCTTGCCGTAATCTGATCTGCAGTCGGAACGTCGGGAGTCACCAAAACTGAAAGAAAATACGTGTTCAATAACGACTGAAGTCAGGTGAAAACACAAGTGTTAAATAAAATGATCTGTGATAGAAATAATTGCCATACAACACCAGAATTCTGGAGTGAGGATTTATTCAGCCATGAGCTGGCAAGTCAAAACCACACACTGAAGTCATAACAGGAAGTGGCCCAATAAATACAGAAACTTCAATGCCCGAGTCCGCCTCTGCTGGCCTAAAGCTGAATCACAGGCATTCATACAGACAGTCCTCAATCTAATGTTCATKCAGCTTTAATTATGTGTTGTTATTTTCGGACATGTATCTACTCTATTTCAATTAACACATTGTAAGAAATATAACAAACATTATGAAGGTATTATAAAATAGAAAACCCTAACTCTGTGTTGTATTTAATTAGTACTAAACTATAAATTTCTTCAAGTTCTGGATCAGAGTTTAGTAAAATAATCCACATTCTATTGGACATATTTTCTATTGATATTGATCACCGGTCTAACACGATATATATCGTTACTGTTTTATATTGATATTGATTGTCTATCGTGGTATATATTGTTATTGAATTATTGCCCAGCTCTAATTTAAAACATTATTCATCATTGCTTTACCACAGAGTCAGAAGACATGTTTTAATGAGTAAACTGTACTCTCTGATTATTCATAAGAACAACTTTAGTTCTTAGGATAATAAAGTTTTTTGGTTAACAATATTTTAATTGGACTTACAGAGCAGAGTTGTAAGTTTCCTGCTGATTTTATGACCCACCGTGTTTTCTTAGCTGGCTGAATCCTCGCTCTGCATTTTCATCCTCGTGACCTCTGACTGTTGTGTTTCCAGGATATTTGTATGTTATTATCAAAGCTGTGTTTTCAACATCGCTGCACTGTATATCCTACCAGAGGTCCTAGATATGTGAGCATTTTAAAACACCTGTTCAATTTGAACCCACACTAGTTTTTAGTGGTGGCTGCAGAGCTAACGCCACCCTGTGCTTATTTTTCTCCACATGTGCAGCTGCATTTCTGTTTTTGTGTCATTTACACTACATGAGTACAACTCACATTATCATGGAGATTATGTTTCCGATTTTATTGACTATTTAACATTGTTTTAGATTTTTAAAAACTGTCCTCATTAAGGGTCATTTTGAAACTCTGAAAGAGTAATTTGAAAGGTTTTTTTAGAAATAAAATACTCTTTCCTTTATCTGCATTCTTTAGATGAATAGCTTTCAGGAGATTTGTATCTTTGTTGTAACTGGAGCAGGCACAGTCACCTACTTTAAAAGTTGGCTCTAACTTATTCACAGCTGTGACTAAACCAGTTTAGCTACATATTTAACAAAATCTTAGTTTCTTTACAGCCATAAAAGACGCCAAAATATGCAACATTTCCTTGTGTTTGATTAGATTTTTTTATATATCATCCAAACATCCAATCATCCAACAAATGTACACCATTCTGTACAGAACGTCTAACTCATAATTTGTAATAAATGAAAGAAATAAGCAGAATTGTGTTTTATTGTCAACTATTAGGAGTCATTTGTTTACAATCAAACATTGATGAGTACACTTTGGACAGACGAGGTGTGTGACAGATATTGAATCAGTAAAATATCACCCAGACGTAAGCAGAGTCAAAGGGATAACAGCAGAACCAAAGACGCCAAGTTAAGAATGAGAATGGACAGAAGAAGAGTTATTTTGCTGAAGGAGTGATGGGGAACATTAAAGTAAAAGTTGGTGTTAAGATCAATGAGCTGAGATCTTCCCTCCTAAAATAATATTTGTTCTTTTCTAACGCAATTTTTACTAAAACCATGGTGAGTTTGAGTTACATTAACACCCAAACTGTTTTTTACTGAAACTGGTTCAAGGCATAAAGCTCGATAAAATACATATTTTGCTTACTTTTTACTGTTTTAACCTTTTTATTTTACTTGTTTCTGTATCTCATATCTTGGATTTTACCTGATGTTCTGTGACAGATGTTCTCTGTCCTCTCTAAAGGGTGATCAATGCGGGAAAGAGCACTTTGAATGAGGACCAAGCCCGCTGTGAGGTGCTGGTGGTCAAAAGGAGACCTTCAGGAAGCCCCATGTCCAACCGAATTCCTACAGCCCGCAGGAGGTCTTCTTTGCCTAACGGAGAGGGACTGAACCTCCAGGACAATCCAGTAAGTAAAACTGAAGTAGATTTAGTGAATTTATTGGGTCGTCTCCTTTTTTTAAAAGTACTTTTAAGATTTCCAGAGTCTTTACTGTCTTTATACAGTTAAACTGTCTGCCTGTTGTTTGTTCACTGCAAGGCATTTGAAAGAATTCAACTGGATTTTCGTTTGGATTGAAGATGCAGCTTCAGACAATTTGTGTAGCAAAGTGATTTAAACAGCAAAGTGCAGATAGCCCGCTCTCACAAAAGGTTCTTGTTGATAAAGTAATGTTTCACAAAAAACAACGTATCTCTAAAAGTTAGTTCTTTTACAAATCAGCCCAACAGCATAATGGCCTTTTCCTATCTGTGCATGGGACAACAAGCTGTAAACTAACCAGTTGAAGACCTAAACTGAATAATGGTTGTGATGGTAATAAAAGCACTGGCAAAGGTTCATTTGGCTGATGTATTTTGTAAGAGTCCTTTCATTAAAGACACTTTTAAATCGTTTTATCAGGCTATAAAATAAAGAAGTCACACAGTGGTGATGAAACCAGACAGTTGTGTCATCAGCATAGTGGAGCTGCTGTTTGTCCTAAACAATAGATGTCACTACAGAAAAAAAATACAACCTCACAGCAAGGATAGTAGCATTTTCCAAACACACGTTTAATATTTTCGACCAGTTTTACACAGCTGAGAATAAATTCACAGCAGAGTTTTAATTAAAAATGCTGCTAATGCTGTTCATGGTTCCTGTGTATACTGTAAAACTATTTCACTACCCAAATCTAATGTCCACCTTCTCAGAATCATCACCTAAATGGAGTTTTATTTAAAAAGAAGCACATTACAGCCAGGCAGTTTCTGGAAACATTAGTGTTTTTTCATTGTTGATCGGGAAAAGATACACGTTTACACAGTAAGGGTGTACTTGTTAAATCAGCTGTAGTTTCTGTGTCAGGTCACCGGCTGGGATGTGAATATCTGGCAACACTGATGCTGGTGGTTTTTGCCTTTCATTGAGACCCACAGTAGACAATTCAGTCTTGAATTTGAGACAAACTCCATCCAAAATGATAAATACACAATCCTTTGACTGGGTCACTAACTGGTGAAAATGTTGAGATGTACAAACAGCTCTCTGCTGTCCACCATTGTTACTGTTGTTCTTATACTTACGCAAGCACAGAAAAACTACTGACTGTAGCCGTCCGTAGTGTGCACATGCAATTTCACACTGATTATCAGGCATTTTCAAACAACCTTTGCTTTGAGACTTGCATCCAAAAGCTTTGATGTGAGAGAAAATGACCACTCTTATTGTGTACATACAGCCAAAATGCAGCAAAAATGCAATGGTTTTACTTAAAGGAGACAAGTTATGCAAAATCGACTTTTTTAGCAATTAATTGCACTTTTTTGTGTACTTGGACTATCTAGGAGCACAGAAAAGTTTAATTTAGTCTCTCCTGGTGCTGCAACAAAATCTTTGTATTCCTTTAGGGTCATATTTTTCCAACCGGTTCAGTTTTATCTAATTTCTGTAATGTTTTCTGAATAATTACATCACATTATTTGCAACAGAACAGACAAATAAAGTTTGGATTTACTAGCTACAATGTTGTCGTCTTCATTCTCCTCTGGCCCTGGGTCAGACTCTGGCGCCAACATGTAAGGCTGGATGGACAAGTCTTCCCTTGTTCACATCTTTTAATTCATTTGTCAATAAAAAGTTGCTGTGCAGCTATATAGTCGTAAACCCCTATATCAAGCTAGAATGAACCGGTCTGGAAGCTGGAGGGGTCAGATTTTGAAGTGCCTCATTTGGATCTAAAGAAACAGCCTTAAAGCGTGTTGATCTGAAACACACATCAGAAAAAGGGGTGAAAGAAGGTCTTGTGGAGTTACAATAAGGAGGAATTCAGACCAAAGCATTGCAGTTCCACTTTATAAAGTCCCCAACTGAATGACTTAAATCTGAAAAGAAAAAAAAGAATTTAAATGCAAAAAAAAAAGTATTTATTAGCATCATATTTCTTCTTTTAAAAATTGGTGTTGTGTGTTTGTCTTGCTTTGAATCAATCACTTGAACTAGATGGATGGATGCTGAATGATAAAATCCAAATAAAGAGGATTTTGTCTTTGCACATCCTCGGGGCTTGTTGCTGGGAGCCAGCCTTCTCTTATCGTGTCCCAGCAGTAGTTTACTGGGGCGTACACGCCTTTACGAGTTGCTGTCAACATCTCTCACATGCAAACCTTAAACCAACTTTCTATGAAAGGTACTTTGTGTGAGATGCAGCACAAATGGAAACTGGATTTCATTATGACATGAACAGTTGCTGATGTTTGTTTTGTTCAGCGATACAGACAGACAGACAGTGTATTGACTTACCTAATAACAGCAGTTACAGTCAGTTTTTTTCTATATGTTTGTTCTTTTCTTTAAAATAACTGCAAATGTTTTCAAACATTTTCTTTCAGTCTACTCTGACTTTGCCAAGGCCCCATCAGAGCCTACAGCAAACTCATGCAAGTACCTCATGACTCATTTCTGCAGTGATATTGGACCAATATGAGTGCTGTAGAGCCTCTCTAGATTCGTGCTTTAGAATCTGCTTGCACCATATTTAGAGCTATATTTAGAAAACTAGGTTTAGACTGTGATTAAACAGTATGTGCCAGAAATGATGCATAAGAAATATGTAGTTTAAACTCCTTTCCTTTTTACTAGTGCAGTGATTTTAGTGGATACCTGAAGCATAAAAATGAACTGTTTATTTCAGGAGGACAAAGGATCACAGAGGGCATGTGTTTTTGAAAATGAGAAATTCAAAGGTCTGCCATAAAAGAGCAGGATCACAGGATCTTGTTTTTTTTTTTTTTTTTTTTTTTTTACTGTGTGTGGGAGGAGGGACCTTTTTAAAGATCCACAAAGAGGAAACCCAGTACATAAAACCTACAAAGAGATGCAAGAGCAAAGTGTAACAACACAGTGCACCAGGCCCATCCATTAATGGGCTGTTTGGACTTCCGATCAGATCACTGACCTGACCGCTGCAGTCCTCTTAGCTGTGGGTTAACTTCAGGTCAGTGTATAAAGAAGCCTTCGACAGTTTAAGTAGTACTGAGTTACCACAAGAAAAAAAACGAGGATTTTTCAACTCATGTACACATGCTTCTTCAATCACATGGGCTGAAAATGTGAGCAGCATCCATCCATCCATCCATACGTCCATCCATCCATCCATCCATCCATCCATCCATCCATCCATCCATCCATCCATCCATACGTCCATCCATCCATCCATCCATCCATCCATACGTCCATCCATCCATCCGTCCATCCATCCATCCATCCATCCATACGTCCATCCATCCATCCATCCATCCATCCATACGTCCGTACATCCATTCATCATCTTAACTAGAGCTGCACAATATATTGTTGGAGCATTGTCACTGTAATGTACATGTGTGCATTAATCACACTGAACGTCCTGCAAAACAAAAAAGAAACATATAGGCTTACAGGAGGCAAAATGAAACCAATGCAATTTCTAGGGACTAAACTACCTAACCGTAAGTTTTTGCACTAAACTGTGAGAAAAAATGTAAGGACTTCTATTTTAACGAGTTGCTTCCGCTGGCAGAAGCGGGTATTTTTGTCCAAAAAAGTTCAAACTTTCATTTTGTTGTGAAACTTCTGGAACAATAATGGTTTTTCAGCAAATTGTTATCTATGAATTCTTGAGCAGTTTTGATGAAAGTAAGGATGATGAGCAAATTTGCTGAGAACTGGAAGAAAAGAAGTAAAATACAGTTAGCATGAATGCTACATTAAAGTGTGACGGTTACAGAAACAGACAGACACAGAGGAAACATGTTAGGTGGTAAAATGCAATCACGTTTACACTTGATAGAAACAAACAGGTACTCATGTCCCAGCAAAATAAAAGAACTAGAATATCTCTCAAATACAGACAAAAACATACTTGTAATATGCAGAAAAAGAGGTAAAATCAGTTCAGGTATCAACAAGATGGCAGTCAAGTGTTATTCAAGTCATCTTATGAGAATTCCTGTATTTTTTCATATCACAATATACAGTATATCGCAGGGTTAGAAAAAATTGCAATGTCAGTTTTTCCAGTGTTGTGCACCTGTTAGATAGAGCTTCAACTCACATCTCCGGGAGAACTTTGAACACGTTCCGGGGGAGGTGGGGACATTGAGTCTGAGTGGGCCATGTTCCGTGCCTCCATTGTCCAGTTGGCTTACCTGAGCTGTGGCCATAAGGTTGTCAGTAGGGATGGGTACCTTTGACGTTTGAATCAATTCGGTACCAATATCCGGTACCTGGGAATCGGTACCGGTACTTAACGATACCAATTTTCGGTACTTTGTGTGTGTGTTTTTTTTTTTTCAATAATAAACTTATTTTTTTATTTAACATATTTCTCAATATATGAAATTAACAAATGTCAAGACAACATCCAACTCTTTGTATTGTAACATCAGTTATGTAACTTATTTCTTTAAAGTGCAAACTCCTTGAAAACAAGAATGTTTTGTCTTATTGCACAAAATAAAATACAGCTCCACCTGTTTCTATTGATGTCATTTCCCCGCTAGAAAAATTGTGTGGTGGACATCAGTGGAAGGCAAATAAGTTTAAATCAAATAAGCAAAAGAGGATGTAGTTAAAATTAATAAAAGGTATCCAAGCTACGTTTTGAGCATCCAAAACGCGCCCAACGCTTCAAGCTGGCTGCTTGTGCTCTTTCAGGTCAGGCGCGTTCGGACTGTCGGCAAGTGCCTCTATTGTTTTCTTCTGCCAGTCTCTGTTTGATTGCGGTTGAAATAAAGAAAGTGGCGGTACTTTATTTACTTTGAGCAAGCGAACGTTGTGCTCACAAGATAATTAATTCACCAGATAATTCAGAGGCGATCTGTTAGGCAAGTTTTACTCCAGGAGCTGTGAGGCTTTCATGCTACATTCAGACTGAGCTCTGCCTCTATTTACCAGCGGCTGCTGCTGCTGATGTCATTATGTGTTTGCGTGATGCTATGATCAGGACAAGCATGGAAAACTCACCACTCTTACGCCAAACCGGTCGCAATGATGCGTTTAGGTACCAAAACATGGTACCGTTTGATGTTATGTGAATAGATATTCGGTAGTACCGACAGAATTTGGTCTTTACGTCAAAAAGTATTGAATTTGGTACCCATCCCTAGTTGTCAGTGCCTGTTGTGGGGGCAACCCTCGAACCCGCTGGTGGACACTGGCGGTGAGGGATGCTGGCATGCTTAATAAGGAGTCCTATCAGGCCTTTTTGGCCTGTGGGACTCGGAAGCAGCTGATAGGTATCGGCAGTCCAAGTGGATTGCGGCTCAGATGGTCGCTGAGGCATAAACTCGTGCATGGGAGGAGTTCAGAGAGGCCATGGAAAAAGACTTCCACATGGCTTTGAGGCAATTCTGGTCCACCATCCAGTGTCTCGAGGGGGTGTGGGGGCGGTTCGCCACCAACACTGTTTATATTGGGGATGGTGCGCTGCTGCCCTCAACTCGGGACATTGTGGGTCAGTGGGTGGAATACTTCAAAGACCTCCTCAATCCCACTGACACGTCTTCCCATGAGGAAGCAGAACCTGGGGACCCTGGGTCAGACTCTCCCCTGGTGGCAAGGCGCCGGGGGTGGATGGGATTTGCCCGGAGTTCCTTAAGGCTTTGGATGTTGTGGGGTTGTGTTGGTTGATGCGATTCTACAATATTGCGTGGACATCGGGGGCAGTTCCTCTGGATTGGCAGACTGGTGTGGTGGTCGCCCTATTTAAAAAGTGGGACCGCAGAGTGTGTTTCAACAATAGGGGATCACACTTCAAAGCCTCCCTGGTAAGGTCTATTCAGGGGTCCTGGAGAGGAGGGTCCATCAGATAGTTGAATCTCAGATTCAGGAAGAGCAGTGTGGTTTTTGTCCTGGTCATGGAACAGCGGACCAGCTCTACACCCTCAGCAGGGTCCTGGAGGGTGCATGGGAGTTCGCCCAACCAGTCTGCATGTGTTTTGTGGACTTAGAGAAGGTGTTCGACCATGTCCCTTGGGGACTCCTGTGGAGGATACTCCAGGATTACGGGGCACCAGGCCAGTTGATACGGGCTGTTAGGTCCCTGTACGACCGATGCCAGAGCTTGGTCTGCATTGCCAGTAGTAAGTCGGACTCGTTCCCAGTGAGAGTTGGACTCCACCAAGGTTGCCCTTTGTCATCGATTCTGTTCATAACTTTTATGGACAGAATTTCTGGGTGCAGCCAATGTGTTGAGGAGATCTGTTTTGGTGACCTTAGGATCACATCTCTGCTTTTTGCGGATGATGTGGTCCTTTTGGCTTCATCAAATCTTGATCTCCAGCTCTCACTGGGGCAGTTCGCAGCCGAGTGTGAAGCGGCCGGGATGAGGATAAGTGCCTCCAAATCTGAGACCATGGCCTTGAGCCGGAAACGGGTAGGTTGCCTTCTCCGGGTCAGGGAGGAGGTCCTGCCCCAAGTGGAGGAGTTTTAGCATCTCGGGGTCTCTTTTTCACGAATGAGGGAAGAATGGAGCGGGAGATCTTCAGGCTGATTGTTGTTGCATCTGCAGTGATGCGGGCGCTGTACCGGTCTGTCGTGGTGAAGCTCTCGGTTTACCGGTCAGTCTACGTTCCTACCCTCATCTATGGTCACGAGCTTTGGGTAGTGACTGAAAGAACAAGATTGCGGATACAAGTCCTTCGCTTATGCTAGTTCACACCGAACGCGTTTTAAGCGGCCAAAAAGCACAAAACGCCTCTCGTTGGACGCACTGTGTTCAGACCGAAGTAGTGACTGAACTAGTGTTTAGACCAGAACGAGAAGCAGCAGCTGGGTGTGGGAGGAGCGTGTCCTCGGCGGGTGAATAAAGATAAAATAAAAGAAAATGGCTTTGATTTATTTACTAAAAAGCAAGCAAACGTTGCGCACAGCAGATAATTAACTCACCAGATGATTTAGAGGTGATTTGTTTGGTTAGTTTTGTCACTCCAGAAGCTTCCAGCTGATGGACTTTTTTTGTCCCGAGCAGCTGATCCACATCGGTGCTGATACATCCTGCCAGAAAATCCAACTGCACATGGTCGATTTCAGGTAAAGATCTCCAGTCCGTCTGTTTCAGTTTTCAGTGGGAGACGTGCTGAGCGGCGAAAAGTTCAGATATTTGAACTCTGGCGGCGGCTTTGGCGGCGGCTGCTTCCGCAGCACTGCATACATGGAAAAAACTCTGCGCCCCTTCCGCCTTCCTTGCGCGCTCCCCAAAACGTATGTGACGCGACGCACGATAGAGGCGCATCCACCATAGACTTTGCATGTAAATCAGCCGCTCCTGCCGCTCAAAACGCGTTCGGTGTGAACGTACCATTAGAGACAGGGTGAGAAGCTCGACCATCCAAGTGGGACTCAGAGTAGAGCCGCTGTTCGTCCACGTAGAGAGGAGCCAGTTGAGGTGGCTCAAGCATCAGGTTAGCATGCCTCCTAGACGCCTCCCTGGTGAGGTGTTTCAGGCATGTCCCACTGGGAGGAGGAGGACCAGAGGAAGACCCAGGACACGCTGAAGGGACCATGTTTCTCAGCTGGCCTGGGAATGCCTTGGGATTCCCCCGGATGAGCTGGCCCAAGTGGCTGGGGAGAGGGATGTCTGGGTCTCTCTGCTTAGGCTGCTGCCCCCAGAACCCGTTCCTGGATAAGCGGCAGACAGACAGATAGATTAGACGTTTGATAATATGAGTACTTAGAGATTATAATCTGATTACACTAATTAATATATTTTATGTTTGTGTTTCCTTGTATCCAGGACAGCTCTGAAGAGCTCACCTTTCATTACTGGGCATTGTTTGATGGTCACGCTGGCTCGGGGGCAGCTGTGGTGGCGTCTCGTCTCCTCCATCACCACATCGCCCTGCACCTTCAGGAGGTCTTGGAGATTCTCTGTACACCCAATCTGGTGCCCCCCACCTGTCTGGATGAGGAACCTATCAATCACCTCCTCACTGTGACATCTCATCGTGGCCTGACCAGGGCTGCTTCACTTAGGGGGGCTGCAGGGGCCCCTGGCTCCCCTAATACGGCAACCCCACGCTTTTTCACTGAGAAGAAAGTTTCACACGAGAGTCTGGTTATTGGAGCCATAGAGAATGCCTTCAAAGATATGGTAAGAGAATTGCACTTGACACAAAATCTAGATTTGAACATTTTTATACTGTTTGTATTTTTAATATTGAGACCTCAACCTTCTTTGTTTAAAATACTAGGCTGTTTGTTTTATAGGATTTGAAAAAATGCACAACATTCATTATATCCAATTCAATACACAGTTCACTGTAATTAAGAAGTTCCTTAAATGCAGCAGTGTGATACAAAAAGAAAAAAGGTGAAAGGAACGTCCTTGAATCAAACTAGATGTCGACCGTGCTATGCTTTCCACATACTACAAATCTTATCAGAACAAGGTTTTATTGCAGAACCTTAGGAAAAATCCATTTTTATTTAGAATACCGCTCTGAGTTTTACATTTTTTTGTTCTATTTTTCCCCGTCACATTATGGTCCTGTGGGACTTCTGCCTTCTGACCATCTTGGAATAATTTTAGTGTAACCTGAGGTGCTGAAGGGGATCAAAACAAACCCACCCCTGATGCTCCTTTGGCTGTGTCTCAATTCAGGGGCTGCATGCTCATGAGTGCGCATTTGTCGGCTGCATACGTCACTGCCTTGGGCAAAGGGCTGTCCCAATTCAAAGGCTCCTCATCATGCGGCCGAGGAATGCGACCCACAAAATTTTGAAAACTGAGGATGCGTCCATGTATCCTCATCGACCGACAATATTCTGGGATTCAATGCGCCATCAGCAAACTAAACAGAGAAACGAAAGCAAAGTTTTTATTTTTTTAACGAGTCAGCGTAGTTTGGAAATTCATCACGGACCGGAGAATTTGTTTTTAAAAGTAAGTTTAGCAACATAGCTAATGAAATTTATGCTGCAATAAGATGTTACATAAAAAAAAATTGCAACTACAAGTACTGATACTGGAGCTAAACCTGAATTATTAATGATCATTTATTTATTTACGTATGACATTTTAACTGTGAAGTTATTCTTCCAACGAAAAAAGACGTATAAATACACGTCCCGACGCATTTTACATCTGAAACCAATGATGAAGCCGATCGCTATGGTAACGGGGTAGTGTGTGGTCACGCAAATCTATGTCAAGCAAATGCTAGTCCATCACATTTCACAGCAGTTTTATGCAGCCTACCCTGACTGAGAAGGACGTGGGCCAGGTGGGCTACATGCTCCTGAGAACGCAGCCCATGAATTGAGACACAACCTTTTGTGTCGTAAAGCAACATTGTGACAGAGAAACAGTGGACATGTGGAAAGAGGCTGATGTGTTAATGAGTCATATGTTGCATCCATGTGTTGTACGACCGTCCAAAGTGACGCGGCTCTAGTCTATGTTTTGTCAGTGGGCATTGTGACCTTGACTTCCTGCTCTCAAGTTGCAACCATGATTTATTCCATACATTTGCATTCACACAGTGCACAGTATTTACATTTAAGTCCATATCTGTTTGGACATATACAACATTTTCTGTACATTACCACAATGAATGTTGAACAAAACATTCCAGATGCAGTTGAAGTTCAGACTCAGCTTTAATTAAGTGGGTTGAACAAAATGATTGCATAGAAATGTGAGGAACTAAAATGTTTTTTAAACACAATCATGTCATTTTCAGGGACTCAGAAGTCACCACACAACGTCAATGTTCCTGAGTTCTGCCTGACACTTTTTAGTTCTCTGATGTTCACTTCTTTTCTGAAAGCTCCCATCTGTGTAGGAATGACAGCTCCATCTGTGATTTCTGAATGGCCAGGGGCAGTAGAAATACGGACTGGTCTTTGAGGCCATTTTGTGGAAATGTTCTGTAAAAAGCATATAGATGCACTGCGACAGCTGCCACCATTCTCCCCCATACGCCTTGAAGTGTTGCTTCTGTGATGGCAAAATACTTCAACCTTGTGATGTTCATTTTGTGCACACTCAGAACTACTGCAGACCTATCATGTGCTATTACACAGATGGGGAGCCCACTGTTTTCCTATTATGCACCTAACAACCTGGCCAAGACCCTAAATGCTCATGCACATTCTGACAAACTGTTGTTAGCGAGTGAAGTAAGCAGCTTTTGTAGTGAGATAGCTTGTTTCACCGGTTCATATCAGTGTTTTCTTACGACAGAATAGAATGGGTGCCACTTTCCTGATTCACAAGAATAACCTTCTGTATTTTTGGGACAGAAAAAACTGACAACTAGCTGACATTGAGGAGATGTAAAGCAGACATATCATGCTTTGAAATCCTTCTTTTTTACATTAAACTCATTCAGGTGGGGTCTATACATTATATACTATATATATA